ACAAGGGTTTTAGAACAACCCCCACGTGACGACATGTTCTGAAATCACTTGTTTGTCCTGATATGAATCTTACACTGCCCTCACAAACTAACTGCTGCACTAGGCAAAATCTCACTTCTGAGGTCGGGCAGTTGCAGGCAGTCTGCCAATCCGGGCATTCTGCATTCAAGGCACGGAGAAGAGTTTGGCCAGAAACCATCTGTCGATTTTTGTGAGCTGGTAGACCTTCAGGATCCACTTGTAAGCGGTTTTTGTTGCGCTACTCTTGACACCGGCACGCCTGCTCGACGCTCAGATTTTTCTCGAAGGCATGCGCAATGGCCCACATCCGCAGCCTGACTGCGCAAAGCAGGCAGTTCTTCTCCGAGCAGTTTCTTGACGTGGCTCAGGATGCAGCGGCCCTGGATATCTCAGCTCTTCCTCAATGTTGCCATCTTTGGAGACGGCAGCGGAAGACCGGGCGCGCAGGTACCTGAAACTTGAAAATTCAAGCTCACCACCCGTACACCGAGAGCTCCTTGGCGCAAGCATTTGCAAGCTCTGGTCTGAGGCTCCAGCCAATTCCCATCAAAGCCAACAGAGCCTTCATTTACCATGCGCAGGGCCTGCATTGCTTGCGTATGACATGGCAAGAAAGGAACATTCTCCAATGATCTCCAATGTCTCGCCAGCCTTCTGAATTGCCTCAGGAAAAGACCGCGCAATGGACATGACTTCGCCGACGCTTTTCATCTGCGTCCCCAGTGTGCGCTCCACGGTGGGGAACTTGTCGATGTCCCATCGAGGGATCTGGCCGTGTCAGGGGCTACCATTGACAGCTTTAAGAAACGTGTCGGGCCTTCACAACACAGTAGTCCAAAGAGGGCTCAAAGCATGCAGTTGTTGAGCGTGTAACCAAGTTTCTCAGACTCACAAGATCGTGACCTGAGAGGGAAAACTTGCAAAATGCTTGACAAGATCTGCTGTTTAACTCTTGATGCAAGGAACCGAGTGCGAGCTTGGCCGCAACGTAGGCAAGCGGATATCCGGTTGCCTGGACAAATACCCTCTGAACAAACTGGACACTCTTTGAGTTCATCGCCTTGGAGGCAAGCGCGCTGCTCCTGGAAAGCCGCGCGTTCACCTCGACGATTCGGTAACCTCGCAGGCTGAGGTCAGAAGAGGTTCAGACTTCATGCCACATATCAAGGCTGACTGCACACCTGGCCAAGTTAAAGGATAGACTAGCTGCGGTTTGAATTCGGATCCAGAGCGTACTGGATGTTGGCCTCGCCAACAATACCAAAATGGCGAATCACCTGTCGATGCAGGACATTCATGTTTATCTTTGTGGTTGTGCTACCATGTCTTCTGCCGGGAAAAGGGCAGCACCTTGATCGCAACAGCTCGCAATCGGTGATACTCGTCGTTTGACAATGTCTGGGATGGTGCAACCACAATCGACTCGCCGGTGTGCACGCCCATGGGATCCAGATTTTCCATGTTGCAAACGACCAAGCAATTGTCCCTGGAGTCTCGCCTGCATCTAAAAATCTATGGGGTGCACACGGTTGCTGCTTGCTCAGTTCTGGGCACAACTTCGTACTCCAGCTCCTTCCATCCCTTCAGGCATTCGTCGATGATGACCTCTCCGGCCGGCTTTGATGGGAGCAAGCAATGTCTAGCAGGGAGCAGCTTCGTGAGGACGCGGCTGACATGTAAAACTATGTAAAATTACTAAGGCCAGCAAACAGCCAATCTCATCTGGGACTGGCAACTCTACTTCTGGTGTACTGTCACATGATTCTGAAAGCATGCGCAGCGAAATGGAATGCTCTCAGAAGATACACCAAACCAGAACCTGGTGGAGATCTCTGTTCGGCCAGCTTACAAGTAACTCGTATCAAGTCCCTTGCATAGTGTAATCCAGACTTTCTGGTGCCAGAGGAGAGTGCAATCAGACGAAGCTGAATCTGAAGATTCGAGCACATTTCAAAATGAACAGGCACCAAAGGTGCCTATGCATAGAGCACATACGGTGGCACCTGAGACGACCGTCCAATGTGAGACTGTTTGCCAAGGCTGGCAGTCGAAGAAGATTTTTTTCTCAAGCGCGGCTTTGTTGCCGTCTACGGCCCAGCCCACAGAGCTCTCCATGTTCTGCTTTCTTTGCAACAGCCTTTGCGCAAAACGCCTTGCTGACACTAGACGCCCTAGCAGCCCAGGCAGCCGCTCATGTTGCGTTTCCCACAGGCGGAAACAAAAAACACCAACATGCCTAGACTCCCTGAACTGAAAACACTTTCTGAAACGGAAGAAGACGACCTTCTTAGAAGCAATGCGAAGCCAGATCTGTCTGAACCCTTAATCTGCACCTCGCCTGGCTGCCCCTTGAACCCAAATCCAAAGGTCCCAGGCCCATACCCTGGGCGAGAGCATGAAACCATGGTATACCATGACCCAAAGTCCAGCTCCAACCGCCGTTGACTCGCCTTAAATCTGCACTGAAATGCAAAACACTTGTTGCAGAAAAACGCATTTGCTCTGCGCCTGAGAGGAGGTGGCAAAGGCTCGAGTCAGCAGCACTTCCAGCTCTTCCTGCACTTCAGGAGGATACAACAAGGATAGAGCAACAGAACGGACACCATGATTTCCAATAATTGGGGACCTTCCACCTGCCAAGGAATGTGTAAATGTATAGAACCCCATGACGAGGACCTCAACAAGCGACCCACAATTTTTGGAAACACCAATGCAATGGCATGCACAGGCATGCGCTCACTACCTCGTTTGAAGCGAAGCCACTTCCCAAACCACCCAGCGCAAATGCTGCTCGCACGAGAACCTTCCAAATTGCAGGCGTGACTATCCCACAACTGAGACCAGAAATACCACTTGCATAAGGACTACCTAACAGTCATAAGTCACTGAGACACATCTTACTGCCTTCACGTGGCTGATGCGCTGTTGGAATTCAAGTGTAAGGCCGGCACAGGGAAACCGATCTCCTTGGCAACCTTAAGGTCGGGCATGCTGCTTCCAAGCGGGATCCCTTCGGAGGGGCTGGTGCTGTCACTTGCAGACTCTCACATGTGCTTGCCGCATCGGGTCAGTCATTAGTTGACCATGTGCTGGAGAGGCTGAGACACGGGAGATTCACTCATTCGGACTCCAAAAAATTGATGGGAATCCTTCCGTTGCTTGGCTGCTACCAATCCACACACCAAGAAGTCAAAGCGAAAGCTTCAAGCCTACCAAACCAAGCTATGATGACACCTGAGGTGTTTCAGGCTGTTGATCCAAAATTGTACATGGATACCCGGTTTTCCATGAAATCCACATGCTTTTCCGCAGCTATCCCGAAGCGCTTGTTGTCATCAATCTCGCATGCGAAATAAAAATTCCCGCTAACCCGCTTGGGCAAAGATGCTGACACTCACGCTTCAATTGATCCTCTCAAATTTGCAGAGCGCAACCCGTAAAGACATTGAATATATAATGTCTTCATGGCCCCCCAAGTGAAATACGAGTACAAGGAGGACACCATCGAGCGATAGGGATCGGCTTCGGTGAGGCACTCTCTTGCACTTGTTTGATTCAAAGAGCGACCCAGCATATGAACCACTGTCACTGTCAATATCGCCTGATGGACAGTCCTCCTCATCAAGGAATCTATTAGACTCTCCTCAACTACCAAAGGCACCCTTATGTCCACCCATCATGTTCCCTTGGTAAGCCTGTTGTTCACGGTAGCTGATATGAAATTGCCAGAGTGCTGTAAGGCAGGCACCTTTCGAGCCTCCTCGAAGGTGTTCGCACAGGCTGACTGTGCACACTTCTCGCCCAAACTCTCAACGCCTTCCTCGCAAACCGTAGCCAGGGCCAAAATGGAAGAATTTGAGAGTCAGTCGGCAGGTCGCCTTGAAGATCTCTCGATCTTCCGTCGCCACAATGGAGTCGATCTGCGTGCCCAAGACCTTTCCGCAGGGAGGGCGACTTGTTTGCTGCTGCCACATCAATGTGAGGAAATTCTTCTGGGTCCACCATGCTGGCACCTTGACGCCATACTTCTTGAGCGTGCCATCTCTATGAAGCGCAACAGCGCAGTTCAGCGCCGTCTGCCCACCTGAGAATGTGGCCAGCTGCCTAGCTTGCTCCTGTGTTCGTCAGGCGCCATCCTTGGGATCCCAGCCAAATGCTGCAAACAATCCATCAGGCCGCACCTTATCAATCACCTGCATTCAACCGGGTGAGGTCAAGTGAGACGAGCACAGTCATCACCACTCCCGTGGTCAACACGATGGATTCCGCCCTCCCCTGCTACCGGCCTTCGTCACAAACTCTGGGGTGACCGGAACGAAATAGATCTGGTCAGCCAGTCCCCGGGACGTCTGGACGGTGGCGATGTTGGGGTTGATACTGGCACGTTACACAAATATCACACAAGCAAATCGGGGGGGATTCACCAAGCAGCCTTTGCAATATTGCGGCATGGATCAAGCAATACATGTCGGGGCTCGCAGTACTGACTGCACATGCTGCTCACGCAGCGCCTCGCAGAAAATTCAAGATGTTCAAAGAATCATGCTCCTACATTGTGTGCGGCGATGCACAAACGATGTCAGGTCCCGCCTTGATGGCTTGGCTTCCTGAATAATCGAATTCGCCTGCTTGTCCGATTGTCAAACCACCGGATCCCAGCACCAGGACCTCGATGCCCATCGCAAAAGGCCCATGCAACAAAGATGGTCGTGCTCACCATACTCGCCTGGCCTTTGAAATCGCCTGCGGGTGCTTGTAGCTGATTGTAGTAAGGCTTCTGCTTCCTGAGTTCCTGCGCGCCACGAAGTTTGGTGTAAGGCCCAGCTTAGCTCCCACCAGTCCCGCCCAGCCTCAAGATTTTAAAAAACTCGTCGAAAAGAAACGCTGTGTCCACTGGCCCACAGCAAGCCTCTGGTGGGGATGCGGAGATCGAATTTTACGAGTCCTATGCGCCTTCCAGCCTCCGGATGGAACTGAACTGATAACCATGGCTTCTCCTGTGCGCACGGAAAAAACATTCAAGGGGCAAAGCCACGCAGACTATGCACAACAAGCGCGTCCTTGTGAGCAATGCCTTCGTTCGAACCATCATTCGCATTTGTAAAAAGGCTGTGCCAACCCTCCGGCAACTTGGAGTCGTCAACGGCAAAGCCGTGATTCTGAGAGGTAATGTAGCAGCGGCCAGTGCGCAAATCAACGCACGGCTGGTTCCTCGGCTATACACCAACCAAGCAGAAACTTGGATCATGGAGTTTGCTTAGCTCGTGGCACTCCTCGGTTGCCAAACTTCATCTTGTAGGTGTGGCAGCCGGCCGCGAGGGAAAGCAGCTGATGGCCCAAACAAATCCCGAAGATTGGCAAGGTGGGCCTCTCTTGCATAACTTTGCGAAGGCATGCCACCGTCGCTTCGCACCTGACATTGCCAAATGTGCTCCTGCGCACTCGCTTGGCCTGCTTTGGCGCCAGACTTTTCTGGATCACCGGGACCGTTGCTAATGAAAAGTCCGTCGAACTCCTGCATGTTTTCTATAAGAAGCAACTCATGGTTTGATGAAAAATGTTGGGCTGCCTCCTTGGAGAAATCGTAATCCCATGGCACCACCTTGAGGCGGACTCGCAAATAGTACACGAAGTAGCGCACAATGTTCAACCTCAAGTGCCGCATGCGTGAACCAACAAGTGTTGAGACGGCAATTGCTATTGCTTGCCATAGAACTTAACACAACAGCTTACCTGCTCCAGTACTACTTCCGCTTTCTACCATCTTGCGAAGCCAGGGCTCTTCATGCCGCAATCCACTGCCACGATCAGAGGAGGTTCACCTGAACTTTTTTCGAGAAGGGGGATCTGCCATCACGCCTGTCCTGCTTTGCTCAAGACCTCTCAGCGAGAAACCCTCCACCGTTTCATCTCGCAAAGGATGGTAGAGCTTCGGGCTGGACCTGGGGAGCTCCAGCCAATGCATGATCAAGCACACTGGGCACCAGCAACACTGAAGGCCAAACACTGACACTTGCGCAACCAAGTTCTTCAGGTTGGGATCCTCCCAAAACGCGACCGCTTTGTGTCTCAATGTTTTATGCAAAGTTGACTGCATCCTCCCATTGTGGTGTTGCATCGCTGCCAACCACAACTGCACCAAGCGCTGAGCCTCACTCGACCGGTGATTTCAACACTGCGACGTTGAAACCCATAGCCGGGCCTTCCTGCCGGAGGCGCTTTGTGATAGCACGAGTGTCTACCCCCGAGATCCCGGGGACATTGTGCCTGCATTATCCACAGCACCAAACAGCCTCTGCAACTCAGAAATTCCCTCTCTCAATCTTTGAGGTCGCGGCTCTTGCAGCCACTGCGACAAGCTCTTCACTGCGGAGTAGTGGGATGCCGCAAAGGAATACTCAGAAACCACAACCGCCACAGGGTAAATCCTTGCTCCCTCAAAGTACCTGAATGCAAGCCATTGCAAAACTGCACAGCACCCTAAAGCAGGCAATTCGAGTTCTGCAGGCCTCGGTATGCCTTGCTCATCAGTCTCGTCAGGCGGCACACCATAATTCCCCACGATGGGGTAGGTCAGCACCAGGATCTGGCCTCTCGACTCTTGCAAATGCTGAGGGTAGATAGTGCTGCAAGAGTGCCTTCAAATGATGGGTCCGTCAGCGACTCGGGATAACCCATCATTGCAGTGCAAAACACCACCTCGCCGGCGATGGACCTAGGGGCAATTTTGAGCATGGCTTGAAGGAATGCTGCTATGTGCGGCTTTTAGCTGTAACACGTGACGAGGAGCTTGCGCAAGCGACCTTCCTAGCAGTAAGGTCTCCCATAGAAACTGACCCGGGGCAAGAACCTTTACAAGCTTCCTAGCAGCAAGGTCCCCTTGAAACTAACCAAGTTCAAGGCCATATTGTCACTTCAAGGAAGTCACAGGAAAGCCTTCGAAAGCCAGCCAAGGATTGCTTCAACCTTAGCCTTAATTGCCGGCCATCCCACAATTAGCTAAAGTCAGCCCGTACACCCTCCTCGTGCACTCCACAACCCTGCCATCATTGTGCAGTGGCAATCACCTCAAAAACCTCAAAACACTGCGACGCTTTCAAGTCTCTGGCCTCTTTGCACCAAAATTCCAGCCGCGCCAACGCTCGCCTTTGAGGGAAGTCGTTGGATGTCAATTCCTTTAGCCGCAAAGCTGCTAAGCGCGCGGCCAGACTTCAGCCGCAGCTCAGCAGGGGTTTTCATAGCCTCCTCCCAAGCTGCAAACCTTGCAACGAAGAAAGCTGCAGGATTTCACAGCGCAGCTGCTTTGTTTAAAGCGGGTGGCTCATCAACATCTCCTGCCAAAACCTTCCCATCATTGTCCGGGCCTTCAGGTACATTTGGCCAAAAGCGCACGTCAAACAAAGCAGAGTCATGTAAAAAACGAGCTCCCGTTACGTAGTTGCATTAAGTTATGACGCGGCTGCGTGCGCAGTCTCTCCCAAGTAACACAGCCGCAACGCACTTGTGCAAGCTCGATTGACATTGCCAACACAACCAGCACATGCCGTCATCTTTGAAGCCGCGAGGGTCCGACGCGGAGGTGGAGCAAAAGGAGGCTCGGCCCGCTTCATGCTCCCTTAGCACGTCAGGGCTTGCGTCAAAGCTGCACAAAGCAAGCCCTTTTTGCAGTGTTGCGGCCCGTCCGCGTCGCTGATGCGATAAAACTGTTTTGAGCCAAATGCTGCCAGGCGATCTTCAGGAAGCAGTCGCAGCCTACATGAAAGAAGTCCCACACAACTGACCTTCCCTACCCTGGACATTTTGTCGGAAGTTTTGAAGCAGCGCTTCTGCTTGTCATGCCGAGCTTGCTATGCGCCATGTTGTCAAAAGCGACGCGCCGCGGAGGTGTCAAATTCATGTACAACAACTTGCAAACACCACGGACAACGCGCTCGTATCAGGGCATGCGCAGCAAGTCTTCACTGCTGGCGTTTTGGCCATCGCTGTAACCTGCTCAGTGGGATTGAGAAGAATCGCAGCATTGCTGGTGACCAGGCATTCAAGTCCAACAGCCTCTCCGGCACCTTGGGAACGGGCGACACCATGCATGCCCCGGGTGAAGGGCCCTCACTTCTTTCCTTTGGCCTTACTAATCCCAAGTGGGGTTGCCATGGCTTGGCAGGTGAACAAATTCTCACTGAGCGTTTTCAGGCATGATAATGGTCTGCAAGGCAGGAGAAGCCGGAAACTGCTACCAGTCTGCATATTTGAGCTACATCTACACCGTCTCAATTGGAATTGTGGGTTGGCACGATTTTTCCCGCATGTCGCATAGCTGGCTTTGCCACAGCACGACAGTTTCTAGCCTGTTAGATGCTCTTACTGTTCTATCGTAAGAAATTAAATTTGAGGCTTGGAGCCTCTCAGAATGGGTGACGTGTACACTTGGTCTCCCACTCGTGGCACCATCTGCATGCCTTGAGGCAGCACTCCTACTCCCTGTCCTTTGAGCGAGCGTGCAAGAAGCCATTTGCTGCTTGCAGACGCCATCTGGCGTTTGCACTTGGATAAACTCAGTTGCCACCCAACCGCTGACCTTAGTGAGCTGCATTGAGACTGCAGGTGCAAATCAGATGTAATTTCCATGTTGTTCTGCAAGTTGAAATGCCAAGGTCAAGTCCACCCCCTCCGAAATTGGTCGGTTGCGGACGCGCTGCGGGCCGACTGGCTGCAACTCCTTATGGCGCATGAGGCTTGAATAAAAAACAGCCAGGACTTGCAAATGCGTAGCCTGGGGAAGTATATCTTGCCATAAAGTTGGACAAGAAAGCTGGCGTCTTCACCAGGACATACCCGTACTCTTGTGGCACGACCTTCGCAAGAGACATCTCAAGCCAACAGTGCGCAATGGCCACAGGCAAAAAGGTTTGACTGCAACACGCCGGCTTGCTGCCAAAAGGTTTTCAATGGCATATGCCTAGCACAGCATCGTTGCCACTCTGCGGCCTCCGCTAAGAAGTAGTAGATGTGGCCGGAAGCCAACCCCAACAGGTCCATCCAAATGTTTCCACCTTCTACATGATGGGTGTTTTCAAACATCCCTGCTTGTCCACCATCATGTCACTTGCAGGGCTTCCTGCCTATGAGCAACTGGAAGAATATCAGCGCGAATGGGAACTGGTAGCCCTCACAGCATTAGTCCAAAAGCAGTCAGCAGTCCAACCTATGCCATCCCGAACGATTTGAGTAATCGCTTCCCCCCACACCCCCTAATATGAAAATACGGGGTCCCAGAATTCCAAGATCTGAAATCCGCCCGCAAGACAACTTTTGGACAACTTTTAAAAGGGCCGAGACTAAACTTAATAAGGACTCGTTTTAAGTTCTATGAGGAGGGATCCCTAGCATGACTCTCAAGGATTAGGGTTTCTCCTTGATGTAAAAGATTTGTTGAATGATTGTTGTAAAGGAAATTGAAAACTCTGAATGCGATGTTAGTTGGTATCATTCCGATTTTGAATCGTCTTTAAACAGATTGTACCTAGATTGAATTTAGACTTCAATTGATTTTAATAAATTGTGAGATTCTCTTACGATTTCACATGGATTTTAAATTGGCTTCATGCAGATGTCAATTAGACTTCAATTGGAGTCTGATTGGTGTTATTAAATTTTAGTAAAGTAAGGTGTGAAGTGTAAACGATTGTTATTCAATTCATTCGACGTTTATAGGATTCGAATTCGGTTTCAATATGATCGTTTTAAAGCCCCCGAAAATTCGGGTCCTACAAAAAATTCTTCCTCTGATATAAAGCACGGCTCGAGTATATACATTCGGGGGACCCCTCTCATATCTGGGGAAGAATTAACAGAAACGTTCCCTTCCCGCGTGAAAACGCAGTCCTGGATGGTGAAGCTGAAGAAGCTAAGTCTGGCGTACGGCTCACGACCTCTGAGAACAAAATGATCAACTTGCCAAAAAAACCGTGTTAGAAACAAACTGAGAAGCTCGCGGCTCCAGTAATACAAAATGGCGAAAACCAAGGGAGGGCCCAAGGTTGGGAAGCCGCTCGGCCACATCAATGCTAAAGATATCACGTCGAGGAGCTGTCACGTCACAAGATATGTTGCACAACGACTGAATGCGTAGTGCAACAGACGTGTCAGAACCAATTGCGCGGCAATTAGCCAGCGTTTCCAGGATCTGCGCCAGCAGGAAGAACAAGTAGTCCCCTGGCTGAGAGAACACCTGAGGGAATCTGAGCAGATGTGCATCAAAAAGATTACTTCTGGCTGCCATTGCACATGTCTTTTCCTCGCCTCATTCTGCTCCAACTTGGATGAAAAAGAAGTAAAAAAGTACCTCAAGTCAAGATTGGGACGTATCTTCTCAGCACCTCCACTGGCATTGCATGGGCGCACATTTGCAACAAGAACTGGAAGCTAAAAGTGCCGAAAAAAAGTGCTGGCGTCAGCAATCTCCAAACCTGATACATGTGTGGCCATAATGCGCCCACTTGCGCAACACAAACGATGCAATTGAACTGGCCTGCAACTTGTTTATGATCATGGGCCAATTGAGGAACAGCAGCCCCGGGTTTAGGAATTCCAGCTGCACGAGGACTGTGACGCCGAAGATAACGGTCAGCTGGCAAAAGAATCAAGTATAGGAAAACGTTCATTGTCAATACTGCTGCATTTTGCGATCAAAAACCATGCCGTCCTACTGAGGCTTTGGCCAACACCCGGGTCAGGATTGGCAGGTTTTTATACCTGCACTGCATGGCAGCCAGCACTGTTTGAGGCTCTCAGCTGCATCTGAGTGTTTGTGCCACTGTTCTGGAGTGTTTTCCATCCTCACGACAGAGCCTCCACAAATGAATCAAGTAACAAAACGAAGAAATCAGGTCTTCACAAGCCTTGGCACACCAAATGCTGCAAAGAATCCTATTATCTACCTAAATCCGCCATTGAATATCAAGGAAACGGCAACGGACACATCAAATGCACAAGCTTGGTGGTCACAATTAAATGGCCGCCCCGCCCCCCCCCCCTTCCAACCGACAATTCGCCCTGGCTGCGCAAATTGATATACCAAGCCCGATAGTTTTTGCTATCAAGCTGTTCATCGCGTTCCCGCGCACTCAGCACAGCTGGCAAAGCACTGCCACGAAATGCTGTGCAGTGTCAAGGCAATACACTAAATCTTCTACCGCGGGCGAAGCCACTGCATCTGAGTGTTTGTGCCACTGTTCCAATGTGTGTTCCATCCTCACGACAGAGCCTCCACAAATGAATCAAATAACAAAACGAAGAAATCCTGTCTTCACAAGCCTTGGCACATCAAATGCTGCAAAGAATCCTAGCATCTACCTAAATCCGCCATTAAATATCAAGGAAACGGCAACGGACACATCAAATGCACAAGCTTGGTGGTCCCCCGACAACTCCGCAAATTGATACACCAAGCCCGATAGTTTTTGCTACCAAGCTGTTCATCGCCTCTGCACAACTGGCAAAACACTGCCACGAAATGCTGTGCAGTGTCAAGGCAACACACTAAATCTTCTACGACGGGCGCAGCCGCTGCATCTGAGTGTTTGTGCCGCTGTTCTGGAGTGTTTTCCCCATCCTCACGACAAAGCTTCCACAAATGGATCAAATAACACAACGAAGAAATTATGTCTTCACAAGCCTTGGCACACCAAATACTGCAAAGAATCCTAGCATCTTCCTAAATCCGCAATTGAATATCAAGGAAACGGCAACGCACACATCAAATGCACAAGCTTGGTGGTCACAATTAAATGGCTGCCCCGCCCCCCCCCTTCCAACCGACAATTTGTCCTGGCTGCGCAAATTGATGTACCAAGCCCGACAGTTTTTGCTACCAAGCTGTTGATCGCGTTCCTGCGCACTCTGCACAGCTGGCAAAGCACTGCCACGAAATGCTGTGCAGCGTCAAGGCAATACACTAAATCTTCTACGGCGGGCGCAGCCATCGCGCTTCGAGACCCAAAAAAACCCACCAGTGAGATAGCTGCCATCCAGGCTGTCGCCATTTGCATTGATCGAAGGGAAGCCCACATGCACTGCTCATTGAGAGTCAAGGAAGCAGTCGAGCAAACATCACTGAATTCCAGAGCTGCCTTGGTTGGCACCATGCCTGCTTAGTTACCCCTACTGAGGCACGAAATTGCACAACAACTTCTGAAAGAAATCGCGCCTCCCAGTTTGAAACGCAGCATCCCAGGACTGTACTCGCAATGGCAGGGGACATGTTTGTCACGCGCTCCTTCACCACTGCCGCAGCGTCTCGCAATGCTCTCGCCCACTGCAGGCCTGATGCAAGTGAAGCCACTGCTGTGCTTCGTACGATCACATCTGCTTCGACTCGCCAGGTTCTCGCTGCATCAGAAACTTCTGAGGCCTGGCGCCAGTTGTGAGCACGCGTAACACCAGCCATTAAAGAGCTGCAAGTCTTCACCTGCACACCGCATCTGTGCTGGAACAAAACCAATGAGGCATCGCCAACAAAATGCCTGCGTTCCCATTACAATATCTCCACTAAGCTTTCACACATTTGTTAAACAAAGCAAGGAATGTACACTTGATCGCAATGAACTGACAGGCTCGGCGCGTGCTGTATGAGAGCCTGTCAGCCGCCCCAGCCCTGCTCTGATCCGCTGTGTTTGCTAACTTCACTGCAGCCACATGATGCGTAAACTCAAGAGTTTCTCCACGATCTCAACGTCAGACGTCTAAATTGTGTGGCTCAGCTTGTGTATAAAATAGTATAAAACATAATAAAACGGTGAATTCCCACCCAGGGTTCTTGGGACACGTGAGGTTAGAAAGGGTACTCTGGATGTCAGATCGATTGGGCTAACTTTTGACATCCATCGGTCAGTCTNNCCCCCCCCCCCCCCCCGAGGCGCTTCCGGCACATCTCAGTGTACGTGGAATTGGGACGAGTCACATCGGCTTGGCATCTCTTCAGAAAAGTCAATGAAGTGAGCCAAGGAAACATGCAGTTGGTGTCCACATCTGAGCCGGCTCCTGCTAGCGCATTGAAGGTCACCGATGTGGGCTCCAATTCGGAATGGCAAGCTCCAGCTAGCATTTGCAGAGCCCCCTCCCATCCACCAGAGCAACTGCTGCCAGACATAGCAGCTGTCCAACCATAGATATCCGCAGTGACCCGAAGCAGCTGCATGCATAGTTGCCAGGATGATGCAGCTGCACAGGCAGCAATGGCGCAATTTGTGATGGCAGCATCACCTCCTGTGCTCAGGGACCCAGAAACCCTAGAAGCGATGCTCCGCTTAGTGCTGAGGCGCTGAGGCAAGGGCTGAATCCTTCTTGGCCCGCGAGGCTATGCCACTGGAGGGCCTGACAACTAACAACCATTGCAAGTCTACCGCAAATCTCTCTGTCCAAGCGTCCTTGACAACCCAGCACCTGTTTCCACGTAGGCGACGTAAAAGCACTGAGCAAAGCAATAAAGCTCGTGTCCAAAAGCTGGAGCCCATCAGCATGGATCTGCGCAGGGCAAATGAAAAACCAACAAATATTTAAAAAAACGCGGTGGGGGCAAGACCTGTCAAAGACAACAGCTGTAAGACCGGAACAGAAGTGGTGCCTTCCGCAAAATCAGAAGCCCGCTGTGCCAAAAGCTCATCCGGCTGTGCGCAGCAATAGCGGAGTTGCATGCAATGGCCTTAGTCATCATGACGGCCCCATCCATACACACCCAGAAGCATCAAGTAAGTAAGAGCCGTAGCAAAGCAGTTGGCCAATGCTGGGATTGGGCATAAAGCATGGTACGAGGGACTGCTTTGGGCATCAGGCTACACACTCCACCCACGAACGTTGGCACTCGAAGCTGCTGTGCCAACACGCACTGTATATTGATCCCAAATCCTGAAGATGCCACAGACATGCTGGACCCTTGAGTACCCTTGACTGGCGCAAACACAAACAGCACAACTCCAAGCTTCAGCTGGGCCCGTGGCATTTCTCTGCAGGCTGTGGCGCTGGATGCTGTCCAGGACGTCCAGCATTTGGTCCCATGCAGACGCTTTGCCACAAGAGTCAAGAGTAGAACTGCATAGAATCGTATCCAAAGCAGATGGCAAGCGACGGTGCGTCTCCTGCAGTAGGCTCACAGAGCTCGCCTTGGTCATGTCAAAGTCTCAAAATGGGGCCGAAAATGCCCATCATGTTCCCTTGCATGCAACACGTGCAATCAGGCGTTGCTCTTGCATGGAGGCTTAGGCATGAACCCAGAGACCGCCCTTCGTGAACGCTTTGACTTCAAGGCTGCACGCCGCACCATCAGGTTGTAGGCCGTGAATCGCCAGGACATTGTGCAAAAGCCATGCAGCCTTTCTCCAGCTGCCAGCACGGATGCTTTGGGCAGCTGATTGGCTAATTGAAATCAAGCTCGGGCATCTGTGCTGCATGCGAGCCCTGCGAGCCCTCACGGCAAGTCAGAGATCATGCCCGGACAGGACGCATGGAACATCACATGTCTGTGGCTTGCTGCTGGCTGCATGCTTTTCTCTCGTTCACTGACATCGCTTGGCGTGGTTTCGCCACCCCTCTATTCAGGGAGAGCGGTGCCTACGGGTTAGACCTGGCACTATGATCCAAAGTCATGTCTCATAGAGAGATGAGGGTCAGATCCTGGCAGGCAAGAGAATCGTATATCACTATTCTCAAGTCGCTTCGACAGCAAGTCCCAAGAAAAAGCCGCAGGCATAGCTGAGCCTTGAAAAACCTAATGCTTGACCGCACCTAAAGCTTTGGCATTGCCAAGTTCACGCCAAACTAGCCAACCTGTTGGTACTTGACTGACTTGACTCAACATCGTCAGAAACACGCTCTGTGGCTTACATCCCCATCCAAGAATTTGACATACCTCTTCTATCAGCACAGGCGCAATGCAACCCTGACCTGCCTTGAATTCGTCATCATCTTCAGGCTCAGGTTCGCAAACTGTCGGCTGATGGGCTTGCGAATTCTGGCCCTGAGAACTCATGTTTCAAACTGGCTTTCCAAGTTTTCCCGAAAATGACTGAGGAGCGTGCTCGCGTCAGCAAAATGAGGTGCGCTGCCTGAAAAAGTCACTCTACGACCAGCATGCGAATATGGCATCTGGTGTAACAAGCCAGGCCTTCGCAGCGCTGTCAAGAGCATCAAAGGCTAAAGTTGGCTTTGCCTCTTGGGCGCCAAGAATAGCCTTGAAGAATTGCGCGCGTTGGCGAGATTCCTGAGGAAACTTTTTGAATTTGAGCTGGACCTTCTTTTCGGGCAACTGCGGCGCTTCCTTGGACATGAACTTCCATATGAAAGCCAACAACTGCGCTTCGTCATGCCTGAACTCTTGTAGAAGTGCACGGCACCAGACTGGCAAAGTCACCTTTTGTGGCATACCGTCACGAAGCTGCACTTCCACGAAAGTGCTGACAAACTGATGCGCCAGTTCGTTGAGCTGCATGTCAATGGCACCAGCCTGTATGATTGGGATGGCAGACAAGGAGCTCAACGTGCCACGGTTGAGGGTTAGCACGACTCGTAGGTCTTGCTTGGGTGGCAGCCAGATTTCGGGAGAGCTTCCAATGTACAGGCAGGCCTGCATCTTGTCATACGTCCACGGGCCTTTAGGCAGTGGCATCTTGGGCAAGCACATTGGGGCAGTTCCCTTGGGCTGCAGCTTCTGGTTTCCCGGGCTGATGGGCGAGTTTGGATGTGAGGCCACTGGCCTGCCTCGGCAAAGGCCGCAAAAGCCAAGGAGCTGCCGGGCTCGAACCCGAGCTTGGTGAGCAGCCTGTGGATCACTTTTGGGCATTCTGAGCATTGCGCTTTCGATCTCGCGCAGACTCATCGGCCTCGATCCTATCAAGTAACTCACTCTGTTGCGGAAGTTGTTCAGCTCCGACTTTGTCTGTGGAGCGCCAAATATTAGCAGACCATGCAAGAGGAGGCAGTGGTAGGTGTTGATCCAGAATGCCAACAACTCTGCATCCGTCCAGTCTTGGAAGCTGGCTGCCTGCAAAGATAACTGAAAATGCATTGCCAATTTGCATCATGCGCTGCGGGACCCCAAGACATTCCAAACTCAGTGAGGCTCTGAAGTGTCAAACCGGCTACCCTACGGAATCTACTTCACCTTTCCCTTTTCTCACACTCCAGCCTTGAAGAGGCATGTTGCATCCAGAAAAGACGTGACGTCAGCTGCTGCTGGTTCTGCCCCCAGACTTATTGCCTTCTCCAAAAGACACGCTGAGAAGTCAGGTGCCAGTGGCTTCTCGGGCAAACTTGCCAGGATCCGATCATTCAGTACCAGGCGCCGCCTGTGCCCCCACCGACGAGCTCGAGTAGAGTCCATGAGCAGCATGGCTTCTTTGCTTGGGACTCTTTGTCCGCCTGTGATTGCTCGCAGACCGTTTCTCGCTCCACCTGCAACTCTGCCAGCGGCTTTCTTTGCGATGGAGAAGCTAAAGACATCGACTGGATTGGACCTTCCGCTCTTCCAGGTCGCGGGTGTCTTTGGTGACGGCGGCTCCTGTGATGGCTCTCTCGGTGAGCCAGGCTCAGGGGATGACTTGGAATCCTTGGGATTCGTCTCGACATGTGGTGTATCACAACCAACCTGCGCCACCATGCGGCTCAAGTTGGACATCCATTGCTCCCTCTCCGCTGAATCTGCACAGCAGAACACGAACACTCGCAGAAATGTGTGGACCTCAGCAGAAGCATATCAAGCCCATCTACCAAACTAAAACGGGATAGGACCGTCTAGGATTCAGGGCCGACGGTCTCTTCCACCGTTACGAAACCTGTTTGAACTCAGGAAGTGTTACGCTGTCTTTTGCTTTCAACTGCTACTTGTGCGGCAGGATGGTGCGAAGGCCCTTGCATTCCCAAAACACCCTCCTCCACTGACTCTGCCTACCGACAACAACTTGGCTGCAAGAAGACGCGCAAGGCTGATAGCAGCTATGAGGGCCTGGCTTGCCAAAGCATAAATCTGCCCAGACATGGCCCAGGCAGGGCTTCAATCTGCAGAATCTCCCCAGCGTGCACACTGATCCGTGGCTTCTCACAGTCATACGGAGTGAAGCAGCGAAGGAATCCATCCGAAGATAGCCGGAGCAGCTCTTCACAAATTCGCCCTTCAAAATGCACCGACCCGACCAAGGCCTGTCAGCGCAACATGACCCCTGATCTGCCAAGCCCCTACATCCGCAGACAAGAAGCTCTCCTACACAACACTACGCAATTTCACTGAAAGTCCTCCTGAATCACGCTTGCTCGTCCTTGCCGGGCATGCGCAAAAGCAAGCCCACAAACCACGCTGTCCGCGGCAACGAAAAAGCGCGGTGGCATCAATTGCACCCGTCGTCGCTGTCCCAGCGTTCGACGTCGGACCTCTCCAGCGCGGAAGGGACACGGTGACACACTAATTGCTGCAACCGCTGGACCGTGCGGAGTCGCCCGGTAAACAAAAACAATAAAAATGTTGGATCGCTGTCCGCCACCCAGAATGCGGCGGATGTCAACAACGACTGCTACTACTACAGATATAAGGCCATGTAGCGTTATCAGCCCGTGTGTACGCATCATTGCGTATCATGGTGGCTTCTTCCGCATGTTGGGAAAATGTAAGAGTCTTTCCTGCTTTGGGAAGTGCAGGTCGGACAGCTGGCTTCTGGTCAATTCTGTCGCATAGGCATACGCCCATTGTGCATTATGGTTGGGAGGGTCCATATTCATTGCTGTTTCACCCGCTGGCTTCGAGCCGGCCCTGAGGTATAGCAGCGCAAATGCCGGCCACACTCTGGAAGCAATACTCCAGTCAATGTTAACAGTCTACCCTGCGGTGTTCCAGGTTCCAGTGATGGACACTTTTGTTGCCCCCTCCTATCCGCCAGTAAGTGCGGAACTTAGCTCTCCTCACTCATTGGGCCTGGGTATGCCTACATGACTTCTTTTTCAACGACACATGTCGCGCAGCCTTCACCGGCAGTCCAGCTACCACAACCATGAATAGAACCGCATACACATGAACCAATCACACAAAAATTTGCTCGGCTGTTTGCCAGGACTCTTTGTTGGCTAATCTGGCAGGGCTGCTCATATGGCCAGCATCTAGACGTGGGCTCCCTTCCACAGATGCATCGGTCTGCTCAGGGGTCATGGTGCCAGTAACAGCTGCGCGAACCACCACATTCCTCTGCACAGCTACATCCAGACGTGCACGACATCACAAGCAAACGTCGGCGTGGCTCTAACGCTAAAAAGAGCTCTGGCGGTCCTGAGCTTGGACTCTTCCTCTAGCTGGGCAGACACGACGTGGCGGAACTGTTCCAGCGTTTTGACTGCACAGCAGGTGTACCTACACAGGCCAGCACACATCATTCAATGCAGTGACCAAACAGCAAGTTCAAGGAAGCATCAGAATTGAACTGGGCAGGCCTCCTAGCCCCAGGGCCTCTACGGAAGGTTCTCAGACGCCGCTTCGGGCGGCAAAGTGAAGCCAGCTCTTGAGAGTCTTTCGCTGTCCAGAAGGTACCACCCGTGTCGGTGAGCGAGAAAATATACCAATCCCGCACCTGTAGACGTGTTATGACTCTATGTTGTACGAACAAGGTGCTTTTTGCTGTAATTTGATGAGCTACCGCGACGCTATGGATATATTATATCTCACAAGAGCCGTAGCTGGGCCAACATAGGGCACAGAACATTGGCCTGCTCGGCACAATCCGGAAGACAACAATGAGAATCCAACACGACATGCATGACCCTACTGAGACCATGCGGCCTTCCGTCGCCGGAATCGATCAATTGCTTCAATATAAAATGGAACTTGAAGCCGAAGATCTTCAGGCGATATACCATCAATACTCCGTGGCCGCCAACTCTCAATCTGCAGCAATGCTGCGGAATGGCTTTTGCTCAAAGCACGCATCTCATCCTCGTCCTGGTCGTATATTGCATCCTCATCAAGCGAATCTTGCGTTGTTTCTGAATCACTCTGGTCGTCTGCCACCAGCAGCTCTTGAACGTCTGATCCAGCGGCAGACCCCTCCTCAGAAGCATCGGATGCCACTTCCAGAACAGTTTTCGGCGATTCGTCATCAAGCCCGGCTGGAACATCTGCAGACTGTTTCTTATCAATTTGCCAGTCATCCCCTTCAGAACCCCTTGCAAAGAATATCTGCAAAATCAAGCTGTCCCTCCAGTTTGGATGTTCGCCACCGCATCGACCGAGATCGTAGATGAAAGCACACCCAGACTTGATCTCTCCGAGGACGCTCTCTAAGGGAAGAGGGCTTATTGCCGGCACTTTCAGCAACTCCCACGTGCAAAGGTCAAGGTAAGCCACCCTCCAAATGAATGTGTATGTGCTGGTCGTATCCACCTCCAACAGGCCTGGCCCAGCCCAGGCGATGTTTTCCACTTCCTCGCTTCCTAGTTGAGGTGGCTCTTCTCCATCAGGCGTTCGGACAAAGCACATGAGGGCCCGAATGTGAAATCCCATCTGGCAAGGGGAAGTCTTGCTGCCCAAGTCAATCACGAAGCGGCCTCCAGTTTTTTTCTTCGCAAATTTTGCGCCCACTGAAACCACATTCGACATGATCCAACCCAGGTTGAGCTCGCCGTCCAGCGTTCCACCAGCCCAAATGTTGGTGGAATTTTCTTGCCCCATTGTTGCATTATGTTTAAATTTGCCTTGAAACTGTACAATCAAACCTTTCCTTGGGCCATGCGTGTGCTCCGGCTTGACGTTGCCAGGCTCGTTGCCTGTGTCGTGGATGACATGGAACAAACCTCCAGGGATAGAAGCGCTCCAAGTAACACAATGTAATTTTCTTTGGAAATCCCACTGCCTTTAAAACCCGGGGAATCAAACTCCACGGGACGTCCATTGATTTCTACCGGAACTCTCTCCCCATTGGTGGTCCCTAAAGACAAAAAGAAAGGGCGGCTCCGCGCGGCCATCCAAGCCCACCCACGAACGCTCCCAAAGGTGCTGCGGCATGCATCAAAAAATCAACAAGACAAAAGCAGCGCTGACACAAACCCATTCTAGGGCCTCCAGGGCTTGTCATACAAACCAGAAAACATGCGCAGGCTTGTCGCAACAATGCCCATCACCGTCTCCTCTACACCTGCTCACCTACTCCTGCGCCTTACAAAGTAAGACGCATCCCACTATGCGGTCGCTTTAGCGACCAAACTTTTTAACAATTCCTGACATGATGCCAGCATGTGGCAGCCTTTGCATCTACCCACCAAATTTGATTCAGCATTTGCAATGCATTTTCCGATTCCACGTCTTTAAGGAGATCGCGCAAGAAAAAACGAATCAATGCAACATGTACTTGCGCGTGCTATTCGGCTTGCAAATGGGAAACTCTGACAATGTAAGTGACCTGCACAGTTTTTCCAGCGTTGTCATCACAAAGACCCTTCATCTGCCCGATAGGCCCCACTTGAAATGCATCAGGGGAGCCGGAAGCCATAGACTTGAAGGTGGATAAGGGTGGGACGACCGTGGATGATTAGCGCAGCCTGCAAAATTCCTAGTTTTACGAGCTCTTGGCCTTGCGTGCCTCTTTCGACGTGCCCTTGCAATCTACTTGAATCTACTTTGTATGCAAATGCAACGGCCTTCTGAAATGACACTTCAAACGCATCAAACATGTTTTTCCCCTGCGGCATCCTGCGGCCTTCCACTGAGCAAAATCCCGTCGCACAACAAAACATTTGCATGTCCTGAGGTTGGTAACGTTCGGACATGATCTTCGTGAAATCGTTTGTCCGGAACTTTATATTCTCTTCGGAAACATAATCTGATGTCACATCCCGGTTCGATATCCAAACATTTATTTCCATGCCATGTCCTGCTGTTTTTTTGGCGGGTGACACATTTGCAGGCCAGCCCCCCGCAACACAGCGACCCGGGCTTGCAGCGTTTGAGAAAAGGAACCACTGCTGCGCATGATCCATTCACATGGAATGCTCACATGTAAGAAAAACCGGCAGCCCCATTGCGGGAGCGCCCG